GTTGGAGGATTTTTTAAATTAGGGGTATAAGAGTAATTTATAAATATTTTTTCTTAAAAAAATAATAATAACACATGTTATGATCTTATTGGTGCGTGACATTACACATATTTTTATAAACTGGTCAAGGAAAAAGAAGTGTGTATTAGACACACTCTGAAAAGGTTGAGTGTGTAAGATAATTTTGATGCTCATAAAGTGTGTAACAGGAATCTGGTCCATAGTTCAGGGTAACTTATGCATTTTGCCAATAAATTAATACTACTTCATTTATCCTTTATTGATTTGATAAGATACTGATAGTAATCAACGAAATATAGAAGTTTACTAAACAAGAGATCATCACCCACTTCAATCCTCTAGTGAATAGTAATTGTAAGTAATCTCATCCTTTCAGTTCATGTTACTGATGTTAGCATAAAGGTTTCGCCGGAGGAAAATGAGTCGCCGGTCAAGAAAGCAGAAATGGGGGATTGTGATATAGGGAAGGGGAGAAGGAAATGAACTGAGAGATTTTTTATCAAATGACGAAAAATTCCTTGGTTTTAATGTGTTGAACTTAAAAAGTGAGGACATTTGAGGAAATTAAAAATGCGTACACCGCTATCATACGAAATATGGGTCAGATCGAATAATTTATCTGTTTTTTTATTACCTACTTTCGGCCCGTCTCATATCCGGTCCGACCCGCCTGTTTGGCACCTCATCTGGACTGCCATTTTAAAAACTTAAGATGTTTCTACCTCCTAAATCTTTGGTTGGGAGTTCATCAAATGAAAATTGTTCATATCGCCCCACCCATAACCAGGATAAATAAAATATATGTTTTACATTCGTGATATATCTTCTAGTAAATGTGGTCGTTTCAATCTTACCTAATTAATCATGTGCCAAATTCTGTCTTCCTCGTTTCAACATAACTGGTAATGTACACAAGCCATTCTTGGACCCCTTTTATTTCCTTTCCTTTTCCGCGAATCAAATCATAGAAACCTTTTTGTCAAGGGTTAAACCTTGAGAGGGAAGGGGTGTTTATGTTTCTTTCCTTGTGTTTTCAATCATCTCTCTCGATTAATTTACATTTGCATAGCCTATTAGATAAATACAGTTAGGGGCGGATCTACTTAGAGAGTTCGGGTGGTACGGCACCCGCCCGCTTCGGCTAAAATTTTGAATATGTAAGTATATTTTTAGGTTAAAAGATAGATACTTAAGTGCCACCCGCAATTCATAAACATGATGCGGGTGCCACTGGTTCAGTTAGGCTTTTGTAATCTTTCTTTTCCAGAAGAACCCAAGTTCGAATCGTATGGTCTCAATAATGCTATGACTTGCTGCCTCTTCTTTGCATTTTCCTTTGCTTTCTCCTTTTACCGAAGGTAAATTAATCTCGTACAACAAACAATTTATAGTAGTTAAGCTACCTTCAAAGCAAATTTTATAATCGGAGGCGTTCTTCCAGTAATTTTTATTTTTCTTCCAATTTCCTTCATAATAGAATTTAAATTAAGCTTGAAAAAGGAGTAATTAGACAAAATCAAACTTATATGTCTCTGTTTGGAATAGAAGGCTTAATCAACTAATCGGAAAAAACAAAAATATTATCGAGCCGACCTTCCCTTTCTATCGATCTTTGCGGCTAGAGGTAGGTATATTGTTTACCTAAAAAGTGGCACCCGTAACCTCTAAATTTTGAATTCACCTCTGCATACAATGCTTTTCATTTTTTATGGCTCAAACTCTGAGAGCTGTGATATTATTAGAGTGGAGGGACCTTAATTCCCTCAACATTTTATGGTGGTGTGTTCAAATTATGTCATCTCTGTTTGTTGCTAAACCGTTGTTGGTGGGTGCAAAACATTGGTGGGTGGAATCACATGCACATGCTTACCGAATTATAATTTCTTTGCCAAGCTTCTTCAAGGTCGAAAACAATTTTTATTTTTTTTATTTTTTTTTAAAAATTCAAAGTTAAAGTGTTTGGCTAAATTTTTATAAGGAAAGAAGTATTTTTGAGTAGAAGTATAAGCCGTTTCAGAGAAACAGAAAAAAGTAATTTCTCTTCAAAAATATTTTTTGAAAAGCGCTTTTGAGAAATACACTTAAAAGTACTTTTTAAGATCTTAGTCAAATACTAATTACTGCTCAGAAATGCTTTTTCAATTAATTAGTCAAACACATATTGTTTTTCATCAAAGCAACTTTTGAAAAAAATCACGTTTTCTTAAAAAAAAAATATTTATCGAAATAAGCTGATTTAGACACTTGGCCAAACGGGCTATAAGTTAGCAGTTGGTTACACGGATCATGAAAATTGTGCCAAACTTTTGGGGATCTTAGTGCTCAATTGGTACGAGAGATAAGGAATAATTAGTTCTGAGATTAAATTTGAGATGAGTTTATATACTGTTTAGTTTAGATAAAATCTTGGTATAATTAATTATCTCGAGACTTTTAATATTTTTTTTATGGAGGATGGAATAACTAAGAATAATTAAAGGTGAAAGATGCTATTACTAGTTACTAGGAATAAGAAAGGATAAGGGGCCCACGTGCCATACGCCCTCGTGGACTCCATGCTGCTTCTCGAGTCATCTAGCAAGCAAGTTGCCTGACATTCCTTATAACTCCGTGCTAACACGCCCACAGTTTTTTTTCTTTTTTTAATTCATTGATTTCTTCTCCATTTTTAATGCCAAAAGAATATGACAAAAATTATGTTTTCGATCAAGAAAATTACAAAAGTAGAAATCAGCAAGAGCAATAAGTAAATTCGAATGAGTGATCGGTCACTAGATTTTATAGCAATTAATAATTTTAATTTTAAGAAAAACCCAAACTTTGATACTTGTATCAATTTTGTGATTTTATTAAAATTTAACTAGCCAGTTATAATTGCGTCTATTTTATCTGATTTTAAGATAGAGTTAACATTTCCTATGTGAACTTAAAAGTCATTATAATTTATAATATTTTATTTTTATCAAAACACCATCAATCTATGAGAAAGGTGAGTATCATCAACAACAATAATAACTACTCAGTATAATCCCACCAAGTGGGGTATGGGAAGGATAAGATGTACGCAGTCTTACCCCTACCCCGGAAGGATAGGGAGACTGTTTCCGAATGACCCTCGGCTATCAGAAAGGTGAGTTATCAAACAAAAAAAAAAAAAGAAAGAAGGAGGAGGAGGAGGTGAGTATCAGTTCAGCACATTTCCTGATAAGTTTTCTTTCAAACATTTATTTACTACCCATCATGTTTCATTTTATAACACTATCTTCTTATTAATATATTTTAAAAAATAGTTTTTATATTTTAAAGTAATTTATTTGAAACTTTTTATTTTATTTTTAAGAATAATTTTATAATCATAAAAATTCCATGATGTAGTTAATATTAGAAAATCTCATTTTTTTATATTTTTTATTTTGTGTTTGATTAAACTTTTTATTATAAATTAAAACAAATAGAATATCATTAAAATTTCTTTTAAGGGTAAGAAGAAATAAATTAAAAACCTAGAAAGTAGTGATGAGATCCACGTGCCTCAAACTCGAGTGGTGGTATTCCATAAATTTGGTACGAGAGAGAGAACTATTGTACTGCCGGGCCATTCGGATAAGGTAAAAGAGCCATAATTATAATTTAAGAAACTATACAGATGTGTTTATAACTTTATATTCCACATCAGCGGCGGATCTAGAGTGCAGCTACCGGGTTCCCGGGAACCCAGTAGCTTTTGCGTAGACTCTATATTTCTATTAAAAATCAACCAAATATTTATGAATATCTAACTGTGAACCCAGTTATTATTGTATATTAATCTGAGAATATAACAGGAACTCATATACTTTAAATCCTGAATCCGCCTCTATTTCACGTGGATATGCTAGTTTTATCGAAGTGAAAAAAAATAGTTCGATGCACAAAAGTATTCGTTTATTCACATAGTATTTGAGAAATTGTTGTATTTTAAGGGGTAGACAACCTACATTAATATAGGCATTGATGGCTGAGACGAATTTAGGGGGAGTAAGAAGATTCACTTGAACCCAGACATATAAGACAAAATTGCATATTATATTTTAAACTTTCTTAACACAACTGAAAAATATAGCTTAGTGATCAAGAAGATAAAAAATAACTATTTTACTATTCGAACCCGTAACTTATAGATCACACTTATAACTTTACAGTTGCAAGACTCCCCTTCCATCGCAGCCAAGGGAGTAATAAATTAATGTGAAATCATATACTATAAATTACCTGTATTTGAAAGATAAATTGTTTATTAAAAAGGTTACTCAATATCATCCATTTACTACTTTGGTGCATGTATATTAAGGCTACGCATAATTTGGTAAATATCGAATTACTGTACCGAAATTGAAATTTTTTATATTTGGTATATGGTATTTTGGTATTTGTTTAAGTTTTTTTAAAAAAAAATTGGTATTAGGTATGGTATTTGGTATTTTAAAATAAAATACAGAAATACCAATATCGTACCGAAATATATATTATCTTACACAGAACACATATTATAAATTATAACATAAATATAAGAAGTCTAAAATTTTACTTTCCTTTATTCTCAAAGTTCATCAATTAACTCTAAACAAGTAACAAGACATTTTTAATAATCAAATATTCTTTTATATACAATTTTCTCTATTTAGGTCTATATTTGCTAGTTTTGGACAAAATTTTGTCAACAAACATTTTTAATTTTGTATTTTTGAGTATTTTAATTAAGAATATTAGAGTGTATGGCTCTATGCACTAGTTAGTATTCAAACCGAATAAATCGAAGTTACCGAACTGAATAAACCGAAATCGAAAGGAGAAAAATCGAATCATACCGAATTTAATTAGGTACGATATTGGTATAGAATTTTAAGAAATCGAATACCGAAAATACCGAACCGAAATATCTAAATACAATATATATCCGAAATGTCAAAGTACCGTATATCATAAATTTATAATTATAGTCGTCCGTAGTGTCACCCTCACCCCCCATCTACTTCTCCATTTCTCCTTCAGAACTTCACAATGGTCACTCCGTACATCTAAATTCCTTTTACTTCTCGTCTCGTCCTCGTCTTCTTAATTTCAAGCTGAAAATATGGAGGAAGATATGATTATTTCTGCCCATATCAACAGGTTTTGGTTCTATCCTATCTGGGTCTCCTCTATCTTGTTCCTACTTTTTGTAAACTTTAATTACTACTTTGTTAGTTCACTGCTAGTTGGGCTGTAGAAAAGTTATTTAATTTGTTCCATCAAGTTATTTTTTGATGGATCTCTTTTTTCTTTTTCCTTGCGACTTTCTGTGCATAAGTTAAAGAAAAAAAAAAAACTTTACTGTTATCTAGTAAAATTTTGATATTTATGTGTTCTTATGCTTCATCTTGTTGGTTTGATCTGTATTTTAGCTAAGGTGCAAGATTATGCCTTAGCCTTACTCTTCTGATTTTCGCCTGAGTTATCACATTGATCTATTAGTAAAAGTCGTTCATTTGAAAATCCTTATATTCAATACATAGCATAATTTTCTTGTTAAGCATTTAGAATTGGGTATTGTCCTGCTGTGGCGGATCCAGGATTTGAACTTTAGGGTTCAGGATGTCACTAAACCTACTGACTATTTGAATTATTTGTTTCGAAATTTTATATTTGTACATATTTAGTAGATTCTTTAACACATGAAGAATCTGAGCCAAAATTACTAGGTTCGGCTGAACATGTAGCTAATACTGTACACCAGCCCATGTTGTCTTGGTTGTGGAATCGGGCAAATTTAGTTCCACTGAGTCACCTAGCTTGTATTATCAAATGTAGTACAGATATACTTTGGTAGGTCATGTTGTTTAATTCCCATCATATGTGCATATCATATGGAGAACAATGAGGTCTCAGGTTCAAATCCCAGCGGAGCAAAAACACTAGGTGATTTCTTCTCATCTGTCTAAGTCTTAATGGACAGAGTTACCCCGTATCTGTGCTGGTAGGAGGTAGAGATACCTCATGGAATTAGTTGAGGTGCGCGCAAGCTGGCCCAGACATCACGATCATAATAAAAGAAAAGAAGAGGAACTATCAGCAAGAGACATACTATGATAGCCCAGTTCTAATGAAGAAACAAAACTAAATGTTTTTTAAATGCGACGAAACAGTCTTCTAGAATCCATGCTTTAGTTCCTCAAATGCCAAATATATTGGAAACAGAGAAATTAAAGCAAACTTGAACGATTAAAGAAAAGGAGAAATTGAGAAACAGAAGTGTATAAATATTGAGTCTTCGATTTTTCCCTTCTCTTCCAAGTCCTAATGTGTGAAACAGTCCATCAATAGTAGTCGCTAGACAGTTTTGGATCTTTAGTTTTTGAACTCTTTGAGTTCGACATGAGTATTCTCAGTAAGAACAAGAAAGTGCAGTTATGGAGGCTGCAATGGTAATGTGTACAGTTGCTCGTCCAACATTTAGTTTCGGGCAGTGTCAGTAAACTTCTCCTAGTTTCAGCCAGGGTCAGTAAAATTTCCCTTTTCCTCATCAAATGCGAAGATAACTGTTATGATTTGAGGGGTAATTTCTGATGTTAGATTTTTCTACCTCTTCCAAAAACCACTCATTTGCATGTGATTAAATGCAATCCACGCTTCCATACACTTACACTTAGTTGTCAAATTTTGATTTCGTTCCATCAAATCTGCTTTTGAAACTTCAATTAATTAAAAGAAGGTATTCTGCACGTTTGTGATTACAATCTTCCTCTGACCCTTTAGAACGGATCATTTGTTTCACTATGACTTCATTTTTCAAATTATTTCATACTGGACTGAACGTATTTGTCATACTCTAATACTGGTTGACTTCTTGTACCAGTGTTGATATGAACAAGGTACTGCCTACTAGCCTTGCTTACTTCAACAAGAAAAGAAAGTTTCAAGCTGAGCAACTGGGAATACCTCTACCCAAACATCTGTGCTCATATCAGAGCTATGCTGGATGTAGTTCTTCACCTACTGGTACAGAGGCTAAAGAGGCATTCATGATTAAGGCAGAAAACAATAGAAGGGGCCAAGATGATGACTCAGAACCGGAATCTGACAAAGACAGCAATAGCTTTATTGGAGATGCTGACTCTGTCACGTCTGGTGAGGCTAAAATTAATCCTGGATGTCTGAAATCGTGTTCGTCCGATCAGGCTTCAACTTCATCTTTTAATTGGGGCGGCAACTGGCCCAAGAATGCTCTTTATTCTTTGGAGAGCAGATCAGTAACAAAATTAACACCTGATAGGCCGGAGCAACCACCTACTGGCGGAGAATGGGATACTCTACATCGTGGTTCTGGGTGCCACCCGTCACTAGATTATGAAGAGAACTTGTTGGAATTTGGAAGTCGTGGGGATTGCACTTGTGCAGAATGCAGGACTGAGGGCATTGAGATGTCAACAGAAAAGGAACTTGAAGATTTGCAAAACTCAAATGGGGTGAATCCAAATAATTATGTTCTTTCATCTGGAAGATGGCCTGTTAACCAAGGTAACTTAGTTTCCACTTTCTGTTTTCCTCTTCTTTCTCAATGGAGTTGTGAGGCAAATAGAGGATTCTTAAATATTTGATATTCGAACTGTCCAAAGTTCTAGTTATCCCATCATTTTCTCGTTTCATGGTCGCTGATAGCATGTTCAGTCAAATAGGGAAGATATGTGTCCACAGTTGCATGCCTCTTATTGGTCCTTGTATGTTTGTATAGAGGCAAAGCCGGACCCAGGATTTTTATGCCAGTGCCCCCTAAAGGACTTTAGTGTTCAGGGTGCCAAGTACTTTAAAATTAACCATTTTCAAGGTATATACATATGCATATACAGGATTTTTGCCGAAGCTTATGGGGTCCGGTGACCCCTCACTATAATACATAGGTCCGCCTCTGTTTAGAGGACGTGGTTATTTGGCTTAGAAATGTGGTAAGATTTACTTAGATGATACATATTTTTCTTTTGATGCAGATCCAGAGCCAGGTCCCAAGAAACTAACCATTGATAAAGAGTTTGAGCAGTACTTTTCCATGCTTATGCTGTAAAAGAAACCATTCAGTTTGACAGCTGGTTTTAGTGATTAATAATTGGTTTCATTGGCTGGTTTATATGGTTAATATTGCTATGTTGTATGTAGCCCTTGTAGCAACAGAAACAAATATGAGAATTTTGTATTCAACTACCTTGAACAATTATTGTACATATGTTTTTGCTTGCATAATTTATCAGTTGCAGAATAGTGCTTTCTCAGCTCAAGAACTCTTGGACTTTCTGTTTAATTGCTTTTAGTCTATTGAATAGTTGAAGAACACTGTTGACCTTACCCTCGACTGTTTCTTCTCTTGTCCACCAGTCGGTTTTAATTTGACGACGACAACAACAACAAACCCAGTGGAGTCTGGGGAGGGTTGTATATACGGAGACCTTACCCCTACTTTGTGAAGGTAGAGGTGTTGTTTCCGAAAGAGTGAAGATCTTTGGCTCAATAAAGCAAAATCACGACAATTATGACAAAAAACTACCCTAAGCGAATAGTAACAGCCGCCAGATAAGCTGTTTGATTAACATTTTTGAAATCTTTTAAACACGTTTAATCATTTCAAACAGGTTTTGTTGGAGACAATTAATTATGTGTAAAATTCTTTCAGGTAAATCTTTTAATGATATCAAACAGGTTTTGTTGGAGAACAGTATCTCAAGAAGAAGTATTTCTCTCTATATAAATAATTAACTAACCTTTTCAATAGAAGTGAGTTCAGACAATATATTTTAGGGATTTAAATCTTATTGAAAATATTAGCTAAAAGGAAGTCATTGCGGTTCCTCTAAGTTACTGGATTTCTTTTTATTTTTTGCATTGCTTTGCGGTTACAGTGTATTATCGCAGTGTGTGGGACTGAGGAGGCAGTGTGTACACAGATTATATCGCTACTTTGAGGAGGTAGAGATGTTATTTCCGATAGGCCCTCAGCTAAAAAAAGTATTTCTCAACAGGTTTAAAAAAGAAAAACAACAATGAAACATCATGCTGAAAATAATAAAAACAAGCACAGTGACAACAACAAAACAACAAACCAATATGAAAACCGAAGCAAGGGAGATAACAGGAAGTAATAGAAATTAAATAATAAGATAATACGAGAATGATAATAATAATATTGATAAGTAAAATACAAGACAAATACTGTGTCCCAAGCTCGACTACCTACTAACCTTCTACCCTAATTATCGCCCTCCATATCCTTCTATCTAAGGTCATGTCTTCAGTAAGCTGAAGATGTGCCATGTCCTGTCTAGTCACTTCTCCCTAAATACTTTTCGGCCTACCCCTACCGCTCCTTAGACCCTCAATTGCCAACCTCTCGCACATTCTCACTGGGCATCAGTGCATCTCCTCTTCACATGCCCGAACCATCTCAACCTCGCTTTCCTTATCTTGTCAACCACAGAGATCACTCCCACATTGTCCCAAATTTCTACATTCCTAATCATATCTTTCCTAGTATGCCCACACATCCATTTCAGTATCTTCTGAGCCTGCATCAAAAGTGGCTACTTTTTGACAAATTTTTAAATACCAGCTACTTTTCAAAAACCAGTCGGGAAAGTGGCTAGTGTGTACAATGTTTTGCCCTATTCCATGAACATCAAAACTCTTCCTCAACAACCAAACAACCTAAAGAAATTTTCAACTATGTTTTAGTGATTATTAGCTTGCTATAGCTACCATTACTAAATTACTCCCTATAGCTATATTTCAGTTGTTATAAACTGTATTCGATGTATTTTTGCTACTGTATTTATGAATACAGTAGCAAAATTCGGCGAAAAACAGGGGAATCCAGCTAAGCAGAGAATGTATTCGACTGTATTCGCGAGCTGTATTCGTGAATACAGTAACGGAATTTGCGAAAAAAAAGGTCTTCAGCTGTATAAAAATGGTAAATGAATCAATTAACGCGATACAATCATAATATAACTCAACAAACTCAATTATAACACACAAAATTTATATTTTCACTTATAGAAAAGATTCTCAACCGAAAAATACCTCAAAAATAGAGCAATATTCAGAGATTCAATGCATCCTTTCTTTTATTAGTGGTATCTTTACTAAAATACTTTTTTAGTGGTATCTTTACAAATAGATTTATATATTAAAATTATATAATTACATTGAATACAGTTAAATACATAAAAATACATTGAATGCATGAAGTATAGCAGGTCATCTATAGTGCAAAAACATATGAATACATATTGCAGATACATTTGAATACATATATACATCTGAATACATAAATTATATTAATTAAAAAAACATATAATACATTCGTGGAATACAGCGAGACAGTGAATACAATGAAATACATGGAAAGTGAGATACATTAAAATACAATAAAAAAAGACAGTGAATACAATGAAATACATGGAATACAGCGTGATACATTGAAATACAATGGAAAAAAAGGTAACAGACTCTTCAAGTTCCTCAGCCCCAAACTCCGTCCCCAATCCACCGATATCCAGATTGCCGCCATGTGGGGTGTCGCTGTCGGTTAAATGAAGACAGTTGTTGAAGAAGCACCAATTTAAAGGATCAAACGGAAACTAGAGACAGAACTTCTTCAGATCTCACAAGGCAAACATGAACAATCAATGCAAAATCTAAGAAAAATTTAGAATGTGTAACACAACTGTCTGAAAGAAATTGCCGGCCGGATGAGGGGGTTAGGTGTGACACAATAAGGAAGGGGGAAGTGGTCGCCGGCCGGATCTGTCATTGGCGGAACACAGCCCCGGCTAGGGTTTCTAAAAGAAGGGGAAGAAAAAATCGGGGGAAAAAGAGAAGAAAGAGGAAAGAGAAAGGAGGAGAGAGGGAAGAGAGAGGGAGAGAGAAAAATAATACACATCGTATCTAATGTCTAAAAAGTAGGAAGTGGCTATAAATAGATATTTTGCTAAGAAAATTAAAAGGTAGCTATAGGAGATAATCTTTTAAAAGGGTATTTGATAGAATATATGAGTCCACCAAACTATATAGGTCCTCTATAGGTTTCCACTGGTAGTGCTAATGAAACAGTAAGTAAATGGGACAGGGAACTTTTACGTGGAAAAATCCCTGCTCAAAGGGGATAAAAAACCACGACCTACACTGGTAGGATTTCAACTTCACTATGAGCAACTTTTAGATTACAACCTATGCAATATAGGAATTAAACTCTTAATCACTCACTAACTTGTAATACACCTATTACAAGCCACTTTGCAATACACATATTACAAAGACTTTCAACTCATGACTAACTCTAGTCATAACACAATCACTGAAGGTTTATGGTTTTACAAGGGGTTCCTAATTAAAGCTTCTAATAAGCAAAGTAGGAATTACAATGAAGAACTAATACAAAGTTACAACTCAACTAAGGACATACAAGATACTTGCTGTAGGAACTGGTCCGTAGTAGTGTTGCACTTTGTTCTTGATTGCACTTGAGAATTGAATGCTCAACTGAAGAACGGTTGGAGTGCTTGAAAAAATTCTCAAGTGTTCAAGTGATGTTTTGTTGTAATACTCTTGTTAATACAACTTGGATGACATCACTTGAATGATGTAATCACTTGGTTGGTCAAAAGGGAGTGACTGCAGTATCGTGCTGCACTATTTGCGTGTACAGTGCAGGCAGTCACATTCCAGCTGTAGACAGTTGACTTCGTACTGCTGTCAGGGAAACACAAGGGGATCAGGTCCCTGTGTTGATTCTTTATCTTTTGAAGTCATAGCAACTCACATTAGCTGGAGTCCGTTGATTTGAGTTGTGTACCAAGTGTGTCAGGTCCCTTATCTGGTTTTTTGATAGTAAGTTTGTTAGATCATCAAAACATAAAGCTAAGGTACTGTAAACCCATCAATTTCCCCCTTTTTGATGATGACAAACTTAGAAATTGATAACACATATTTAAAGCAAAATAAACCAGATGAAGTAACAAGGACTTCACAAGTTCCCCCTGACTTTATGCTTCCTCCTTAATCAGATCCCTGTTTCAATTATACTTCCCCCTTTTGGCATCATTAAAAATACACAAGCAAGCAATCAACATAAAGAAGTCTATCCTAGCTAACTCATGCCACATATGTGCACATAACATGATAGAAAAGAGAAGCAGAGAAACATAAGCATTAATCAGCAAAAGAGGATAGTTTTTCATTAATACTTATAAAACATAAGCCTTTGCCATTACAGCAAGGGCAGATTTGGACTGTTAACAGCGGGAGCAGTGCAGGTGAATTCCATCCATACCAAAAAAAAGAAAACAAAAACAATTACCACAAGTCATCCCTTCAAAAGAGTTTAAACAGAAATTGGTCACTAAAGGATTTTCCTAGGGGACACTAGAGGGAGAGGGCTTAGAAGCTGCGGCAAGAGTGTTGAGAACAAGATCAATTCGGGCATTGGCCGACATTTGCTCTGCGAACAGTTTCTCCTTCAGGTTCTCCACTTGTTGCCTGAGATCAGCATTTTCTTTGGTCAGACGAGCAATTTCTGCATTTGACCTTGGTGCCTCTTGAGCCTGCTGATTCTCCAGAATGGCGTTCCTTGCCTTCAACTTCCTAATCTCCTCAGTAGCACTATTCTGGGCATTGATAAGCTGGGAGATTGTTGAAGTACTTCCTACCCCTCCACTCTTTTCGACACATTCACATTCCTCTAAAGTAGTTTGAGAGAAGGTCTGCTTCTTGGTCCCCATCTTGGGCTATCCCAAAGGCACATCAAAGAACTTGAAGACATGTGTGAGAAGAAATCCATAAGGAAGACCATGGTTTCCATCTTTGAAAGCTGCCACCTTTTGCATGTGCTCAATCATTATAGCTGGCAGATTAACAGATTGGAATCCATCCAGTGCTTCTATCAAATACAAATCAGACTTGGAAGCGATAGACCTCCTCTCAACACGGGGTAGAAGGACCTTGTTTACCAACTCAAACATGAGCTGCTACAAAGGAAGCAGAGCCTTTTTGTGCACCCATTCCCCCCGCTGGACTTCTCCCTCCTTTACAATAGCATGGCTAAAATTTGAGCCACACACATCCTTGACAGAGGATATACCTTCAGCAGGAACCTTAAGTATGTCTCCAAGCACAGCAGCATCCAAAATAATATCAACTCCATTGACTAAAGCACAAATATGGTCAGATTCAACAGGAAAGAGGTCTGCATAAAAACTTTGGACCTCATCCTCATAGACTT